TTTTTAAAATTTTAAAAAAAAAAAAAAAAAAAAAAAAAAAAAAAAAAAAAAAAAAAAGTTCTCTGACAGCCATCGAAAATTTGAGGCCGTGGTCCATGGGACCACACGATATTAAATTAATTTTTCTGGGCCACGGAGGGGTCGTACGGGTAAGCTTGCTTACCTGACCCTTCCAGTGTTGCCTTTGTATTGCACTGCAGCAGAGTGCGCCGCTGCCCTTTCCCCTCCACGGGAAAAAAAATAAAAAAAATAAAAAAAATTGAGGCCGTCAAATGTCTTCTGACAGCCATCGAAAATTTGAGGCTTTCGACCATAGTGTGGATAGCCCCTATATCATTCGGGCACAATGAGTGAAACGGGCAGCCATGCTGCTGCTCCGTCCAGTGGGTGAAGGTAGGTGGAGCTCCAACTTCGCTCTGGAGCTGGAGACTGGAGAAGAAGACCTCCCTGGCTATGGAGGAGTAGTGGTAGGAGGCAGTACTGAGGCCTTGGCTATGGAGGTAGAGGGTGCAGTGCCCCATCCCAGGCTTAGCCTGTGGAGAATTGCGAGAGAAGGCTGAAGAGAATCAGGGAGGAGAGAGAGAGAGAGAGAGAGAGAGAGAGAGAGAGAGAGAGAGAGAGAGAGAGAGAGAGAGAGGAACCAACATGAGAGGCTCGCATGTGGCTATGGTTGACCTGCATCTTCACTTCCTGGGTGGTGCATCTAGAAGGCCCCTGTGTCACTGTGTGGGTTCCAGTTGGTCTTGGACTCCTTTCGAGAGTATGTCTGTGGTGGATGGAGGTGTGAGAGACATAGTGGAGATTGAATTTCCCTTTGAACATCCGTGATGACCATGGATGTTCCGCCGTAGTGCTAGCTCTTCAGTCTTAACCAAGGAGAGAGAAGTGAGGTTATGGCCCGAAAGTAGAGCTCTTTGAGTGCTATACAAAGACGGGTAATACTCGGGCATGATTCCTGTTCATTTATTCATTTGTGGTTGTATTTAATTGATTATGAGAGGAGTGGCAAGGCAGTAGAAGATGCGAGAAGGAAGAAGTGAGGGGGAAGACGTTGGTCCAACTGGTCTGGTTCTTCACGTCTTCTTTTAGTTTCAGCAAGTCTTGACGCTCTCTATCGCGACCTTTCATTCTTTTCAGCTCTCTATTTTTCTCCACGTCTTCTTTTGAGTTTCAGCAAGTCTTGCATTTTCTCACAATTTGAGTTTTGCATTATGCATGTGGCAGGATCATAGCGGTGCATGCATAGACAGACAGAAAGAAAGAAACTTGAAGGAAGGAAGGAAGGAAGGGAGAGAGAGAGAGAGAGAGAGAGAGAGAGAGAGAGAGAGAGAGAGAGAGAGAGAGAG